GAAGGGGTTTCGGAAAATTCGAGCTCCAAAGGGTGAAAACGAGCTCCAACGTTTGTATGAAAAATCTACAATTTTTATCCGATTAACTTCAAACTTAGTTTGATTTTGGAAAACTCGAGCTCCAAAGGGGGGGAAAGTAGCTCCAAAGTTTTTTTGAAAATTCTGCATTTCTGAATCGATCAACTTTAAATTTGGTTTTTATAATATATAAAAGAATACAAACAAAAATACTCGGTTTTTCGAAATTTGTGTTGGAGATTGAATTATTGGGGTTTTAATATTTATTCACTATTTCAAATGAAAAGTTTTTGTTATAAATTTAGTCCGATCGATTTAAAATTTGGATAATGTAATCTACGTAACTAAATCTACAACTTTGCATTCAAGGATTTTCAAAATATGCATTTTACAAAAGCAGGCAGAACAAACAATACAAAATATCAAACAGTTGGGGACAACTAAGTATACATATACACACATACAAACAGCTGTTCGTGTAGTTGCGTGCAAACGATTGAAATAGCCAAAGCAACATGTGAGACACTAATGTGTGAATGTCCATACATATGTGCACATCTATGTATGTACATATGTATGTACATACATATGTATAAAAGTACATTCGTCTTGCACTGACAGGGCAAGAAATGTTAATTAATTAAAAATTATTAACATTATAACATAAACATTTTTATGTTATTTTTTCTTTGTTTAGTACATTTGGCATAAGGGGTTTTTAGGACAACGGATTACAAGGGCGTACGCATGTTGGGCAGGGGGGACATTGCTCCCCTTAGAAAGAATTTCGCATTATGAATTACACCAGCACCATATGTATTACATACGTACATACATATGTACATACGTCTGTATGTATAGTATGAACATATGTACATCAATAAGTATGTATGTACGTATATACATTCTTATATACATATATAGGTTTGTATGTATGCAGTGGGCCATCGAACACTGTTGTTTGATTGTAATAAATAGTGTTCTATGTTTTCAAATCAAAATTTTTAAAACAACAACAACAACAAGTTATTGGCTCGCAAATCTTCTTTCGTTTTGATAATTTACGGCTGTTAATTGCATACGCAAAATGCCAAAAGTTTACAGTTACCGTACACATGCAAATACATTTGTATGTATTTATGTACATATGTGTACAGTGAATAATCGAATACAGTATTATAATCAATAACACTCAAACGTTTTTTTTTTCGTTGTATTTCGCATTTAATTTTATTATTGGGGTTTTTTTATTTATTCACTTTTTCAAATGAATAGTTTGTGTTATACATTTTGTCCGATCGATTTCAAATTTGGGTAATGTTATCAACATAACTATATCAACAAATTGGCATTCAACGATTAAAATATAGCAATATGTTTTTTACTTGCCATATGTATATCAAATATCAAATAGTTGGGGACATCCCATACACACACTCACACATACATACAACAAGCAACAGTTCGTGTCTATGTGTGCCCATGCATACATACATATGTACAAGCATATGTATGTATGCCTGTATATGTATGTAGCATGTACATACAAAACAACAACAACAACTTCAAGTTGTTGGCTCGCACATCTTTCGTTTTGACCATTTAATGTTAATTGCAAAGGCAAAACGCCAAAAGTTTACAGTTACCGTCGCTAGGCAACGACTGCGTAAGCGATAGTAAAGCAGAAACCGAATAACGGAGCTACGCATATTCTGCTTCGCATTGCGGGAAGATGTATGTATGTATATGATTTGTTCTTATTGATGTCAATAAATAATTAGATTTTATTGTTTAAATATTCTGCTTATTGCATTCAAACTTCGATATTTTGATGGTATCGGTGGCTTCAACTATCGAAAGTTTTACTCTAGCAAATTGAGATGAGAATTGTCAGTGCTTTTTGATCGTGGCTCATCGCTGCACGGCATTGACACGAGTGCCGTGTTTCATATTCCGAGTTTGTGCGTGACCGTATTGACTCAATATGGCACGAAAAGACTCAAATGTGAATTTAAAATTAGGATAAACCCTTATAATTATTCCCCTATTTTGCACATAGTCTATCTTAAAACGTTGCGTTATCTCTATATATAAAACAGTGTGTCCTGACTAATTGGTGATCAACGCACAGCCCAAACGCTAAAATATGAAATTTGGACCAAGTATCCTTTCATAGTATCCATCATAGTGTAGGAGCACACTAAGAAAGGCTTTTGGAAAATTCTAGCTCCAAAGGGGGGAAAACGAGCTTTAAAAAATATTAGTTATAGTGGTTATGTTCGTTTAACGAAATAGTTTGGCAAGAACAAAAATGTAACGGACTACTGAACAATTTTTTGTCAAGAACAGAAAATGTTCATTTAAATACCTTAAATGCCTTCCTACTGGTAACTTATAAGGTGAAAACATATGGGTAGGTTATGCACACACAAAATAAATACAATTGGAAACATTATATTGAGCCGGGTTAAGACGGGCAATACCTGCTAGTATCTTATAAGCTTGAAGGTCGAATGCTATAAATTTTTCACCGCATTTTAAACTATTAAACTACTACTCAGCTATAAAAAAAGTTTTATTTTTTCATTTATTTATTTAATATTTTTTCGTACGAGTGTCACATCACGTCAAATTGGAAATGCCCATATATAAGCCTTATAGTTTTTCTGAATAATCTGCATCAACAATATTTTGCATATCCTATTAAATTAGCAAATCACTAAATGCATACTTAAAACACCAGCACTCACACACAACATTTTTGTTAAAATTTTTGTTTTTATATTTATTTTAATTTTCTTGTTCGAATTTTAGTAAATTAGCTACATAACTTAAAATATTATTAACGATTGCCTTAAATAATAAAACGCCACGCGCTGAACTCATAAAAAACATCATTATATATTAAAAGTCATTTTCCATTAAGCTATGCAATTCACATGACAGCCCTGATATGCACACCATTTGTAACAACGGACGTGCTCACTCAGCAACACTCAATTTGTGCCAAGTTCGTGTTCGGCCCGACACGACACGGCCACGAAATGAACCTTTGGAAACACGCACGCGCACGCACGACGAAAATATTTCTAAACACGGCCCAAGACGAAAATATCATTAAATGTAAAAACGAAAAATATATCCATATTAAGCACTTTAAATTTGTATTACAGAATATGTACTTATCTATATTTGAGCTAAGAAGCCGAGCTCGTCGCTTATTTAAAATGTCTCTAAAAGCGAAAAAAACTCCCTCACTTGTTTGAAAAGCAGTCAGAGATATTGACAATGTATACATATGTCTTGATATTTGCCTTAGCAATTTCAAATTTTTTTTACCTTTTTTCCAGTTCTTGAACACACAAATTCCTGGATAAACAGCAGTACAGTAGTAATATATTTCAAAATCTATTTTTGACCCACACTGAAAAATTTTTTTTTGCATTATTAGTGTCCAATAATTAACAAAAGTCGTGTTGACTATTTTTATACTCTGTACATGAAATGTATAGAAGTATATTAGGTTTGCGGGAGCTGAAAAATGTAACAGGCAGAAGGAGGCGTGGCAGACCCCACAAAGTATATATATTCTTGATCAGCATGACGAGACGAGTCGATCTAGCCCTGTCTGTCTGTCTGTCCGTCTGTATGAACGTCTGGATCTCAGAGACTATAAGAGATAGAGACACCAAATTTTGCACAAAGATGCCTTATGTGTGTATTCTATACGAGTTTGTTTTATTTTTTTGACCCCCCCCCCCCCACTTCCCCCCCATATGGGGGTTTTCCCGATATTCCATTCGTATAATCGCCTATATCTCGGAGACTATAAGACCTAGGATGCCTTATGTGAATACGCAGAAAATGTATATTTTGGAATTTCCCTCCCTCCCCCCTCTACCCCACAAATGCGATTTTCTCTAACTCCCGTAATTCTTAGAATTTCGAATTTTTTTTGCAAATACCCCCAGTTAGTTATTATGTGTCCGTATGCCAAGCTTCACTATGATAGACCGATTTAACAAGAAGTTATAGCCATAAATATATTTGCTGCTGCAGCGCTGCTCAAGCGCTGTCCGCGGCTGTTGTTGATGCTGGTGCTTTGGTTGACTGCACATATGTTTACACAGACACGAATAGATGCGCATAGGCATACATACACTCACACAGACGCAATTGCTATGTAAATGTGCAATTATACACCCTTTACGTGAGTTCGAATACCGAGAAAGGTAAAATCGATCCATTTTTTTTTTTTAATTTTCTTAATTTTTTTTATTTTCTATAATTATTGTAAACATATGTACAGAGTATTTCAAAGTCGGGACCCCTTTTTTACTTGTTTTTATTACTTTAGTTGTTAATTTTTTTCGTGTTGTATTCGTGTTTGCTCGTACGTGTTTTGTCGTGCCTTTTTATCTCAACACGAACACGCACGGCCACGCACGAAATCGGAATTTGCAACACGAACACGCGGGCCCACACGTGGCACAAAGTGCCACGACCGAAAACACGGCCCGTGCCCAACTCTACTCCCGACACTCTCTAAAGAGTTCATTTCCCAAATAGCAAATTACTTTGGTACGATTCGAGATATTCGATACATAAAGTACAATAAATACTATGTATGGTTATATGTGCATACATACATATGTATGTTTATGTATATAGTATGATAGGGATAAATCAAGGCAAGTAATTTCTAATTAAAAGTTCTACAATTCGGCAAACTTATTTGGTCAACTTATGCGACTGCACAACATTTAAATGAGCATACATCCATCCGTCTGGATGAATACCTGGATTTCGGAAACTTCGTATATAGACACTTCTAGTCCTTAGGCAACACGAGTCAATTTACTTCTGATTTGAAAAAATCGATATAATGGAGTACTCATTATCAAAACATTGAAGATGACAAAAAAATCGATGTTTCTTTTTACAACCCTGCCGAAATAAATCTAAAACAAACTATCAAGTAATTTGTTCTTTGTTTCTACCTGGTGAAGTACGTCGTAGAAGATTATGGGACGGAGAAAGTCGAAGCGGAAACCCCCACCGAAAAGAAAGAACATCGAGCCTCTTGACCAACAGTTTAATTGCCCGTTTTGTAATCATGAAAAGTCCTGTGAAGTAAAAATGTGAGTAATTTGGCACATTTGTGTTCATTCATATGTACATTATATAAAGCCAATTCACTTTGGTTGAATTAGACATATGTACATACATATGTATGTATGTAAATATGTAGTTAACAGTTTATATTTAAACTGGATTGCAGCTATCTGCAATATTTTAATGTTAAATGGTGCACTATCTTACATGATGTTACATACATACATATGTACATACATACATTTGTATGTTATGCTTGTGCGCCGGCTTGTATGTTGTAATGATACAATTAAATTGACCGTGTTTTGTGCTTTGTCATAATCGCAGGCACCGGCTGTTTGTCGGGATGTTAATGTACCAAGTAACGCCATTCTAAATTATTGAGACTTGTAAACATCACTTATAGGCATATAGTAATAGTGTGGCGGTTTTGCACTAATTATAGTTCCCGCAGTGTTGTTACTGCTTTGCACATGCACACCAGACATACACACACATAAACGCATAATTATTCTACACATATGTACAGAGTATTTCAAAGTCGGAACACCCGACTTTAGCTTCTCTCTAATTGTTTTTTATTTATGTAAATACCCAGTCAGTACGTCACTACTAGTTCTGTTTAGTGATAATTTGCACCTCCACTAGTTCTAGCTTCATGCTCTGCTCTATTAACTTTTTATACACGATGTTATACAGACGAGTCAATTGTCACCGTCTCCCATACCTTGTACCAAAGAATGTGCTAGCCAGTCTTCCAGTCACAGTATAATCTATAATGACAAAATCTAATTTAAAAGCATTTATAAAATTGTCAAATTATTTCATTTTATATAATTGATGTATATATGTAAATGTTTATTCTTACCTTTTTATTTCTTGCAATATTTTAAAAACACACGTCGTCCCAAAAGTCAAAGCAATCGAAGGCCGCATAAACGCAAAACAATAGATGAGTAAATAAAAAATCTGCAACACTTCCTTAATATTTGTTGGTGTAATTTGCACAGCGGAAATAGTAACGAGATCTGCTTAGTATTTCTTTGAGTTTCTTGAGGAACGAATAAAGCGCACGAGCATCAAAATCATATTTGGCAAAAGTATTTTAACAACATATTGCATAATTTAAAACAAACAAAAGTATATATATTCTTGATCAGGGTGACAAGCCGAGTCGATATAGCCATGTTCGTCCGTCCATCTGTATGAGCGCAAGGATCTCAGAAGGTACAAGAGCTAGAATAACCAAACTCGGTATCCAGGTTCCCCTGAGCCCTAGGCAGGTCAAGTTTGTTTTTTTTTTTATTCTGATACACCCACTCCCTCGCAATTCGTGTTTTTTATATAACTTCCGTAATTCTTGGAATTTTGAAATCAATGTTGGTAGTTACATCCAGTTAGTGCTTATGTGTCCGTGTGCTTAGTTTCATCATGATAGGTCAATTCTGAGAAAGTTATAGCCATAAATAAAAATGCTGCCCATGCGCTGCCTGCGGCTCTGCCCGCAGCTGTAGTTATTGTTGCTGTTTTGGTTCAACTTTGTGCCGCATACATACACGCATAGACACGACTATGTAAATGGGTGCTGTTAAAACTGTACATAAACATGTCTTCTATGTATGTATTAAAAAAATTTCCTTTATTAATTTAAATAATAAATTCAATTTTTTTATAGAGATTAAAAAAGGAAAAGGGGATACAAAAAATGTTTTGATCGATTTTACCTCTCTTGGTAAAGGGTGTATAATTGCACATTTACATAGCAATTGCGTCTATGTGAGTATATGTATGTTTATGCGCGTCTATTTGTGTCTGTGTAAACATGTTTACAGTCAACCAAAGCACCAGCATCAACAACAGCTGCCGGCAGCGCTTGGGCAGCAAATATATTTATGGCTATAATTTCTTGTTAAATCGGTCTATCATAGTGAAACTTGGCATACCGACACATAGTCACTAACTGGAGGTATTTGCAAAATTTAAGTTCGAAATTCCAAGAATTACGGGAGTTGCGATTTGTGGGGGAGAGAGGGGGAGGGAGAGAAATTCCAAAATACACATTTTCTGAGTATTCATATTAGGCATCTTGGTCTAAAATTTGGTGTCCCTAGGTCTCATAGTCTCCGAGGTATAGGCGATTATACAAATGGAAAATCGGGAAAATCCCCATAGGGGGTGAAATAAAAAAAATAAAACACACTTGCACAGCGGACACACATAACGCATCTTTGAGATCCAGGTGTTCATACGGACAAACAGACAGGGCTAGATCACACCGCAACCGCTTATATACTTAGAGTCACAAAAATAGGCACTCATGCAGTTCTCTGGTGTGTACACTATACAAGTTTGTTTTATTTTTTTGTCAGGAAGTTATAGCCATATATATAATCTCAGGCCAAGCATTGCCCGCAGCTGTTGTTGTCGTCGCTGCTTTGCACAGGCACATGAGACATACATAGACACAGAGTCACGCATAATTATTCTATACTTATGTACAGAGTATTTCAAAGTCGGCACACCCGACTTTAGCTTCTCCACTTGTTTTTTAATTTTACTTGTGTATAAATATACATATACGATTTTATATTTGAAATCTTTTTATGTCATGTTACAGGGACAAGGGACGAAATACTGCCAAAATTACATGCCGTGTTTGCTTGGAAGATTTTCAAACGGGAATCAATTTTCTTTCAGAACCTATTGATGTTTATAATGACTGGATTGATATGTGCGAAGCTACAAATTAATATATTATACTCGGCAAATTTAATTTATAAGTAAGAAAAAAGTATCGGCAAGCATAGGTATTATCTTTAGGTTAGCATTGATTTTTCGAAGCTATACTTTAGTAATATTTACATTAGTAATTATAGTAATATAACTAATTATCAGGGTATTTATGTAATTGTTCGAAATAAAACTACATTACATGGACGAAATTTTTCGCAAACTAATATTGCTATTTACTTATACATGTATATTTACAATATTTACGTTCTCATATTTAAAAGAAATAAAATCTGCCTAATTTTCATTTAAAGACTTCAAATTTTTTTATGTTGGGCGTGTTATTATATTTCTGAAAGAGCTGTTTTCAACATAAATATTGTGGGGTAATTATGTGTCGTTCTGATTGTTACATACCCTTCGGATAGGAGTATTTATTTATTTAATTAAATTTTGTAAGAAAGTATGTAACTCACATGCGTGGCGTTAATTTTATTTAATTATTTGAATATAATTTTTTGCCTTTTTGGTAGTGGTATTTAGGAGTTGAGCCCAATCTACTCTAGAATTCCATTCTTGTTCTCCTTTTCGAGTATTATGACCTAATAATAATACTTTTTACTTTTTAATCTTATGAGAGTTCTCTCTCACCTCCCTAAAATTTTCTAATTTCAGCTACCTCCGGCAGAATCACTGATCGCCACAGCTGTGATTAGGGGCATAGCTTGCCGGGCTGTCTAATAAATTTTTAATTATATTTTATTATTTCAATTTTAATTTAATCATACTTTTTTATCTTTTAATGCTATTTTTTCTTCTCTTTTTCATTTTGTTAGGCTTAATAACTTCTCTGACTACTCTCTGCTGTGAATCTGGCCGTAGTTGGCCGTATTTTTGTTATTTCTAGAGGGTTTTCTTTTCCTTAGTTTTATCTAGTACTAACGCTTTCGGCTTGCGTTGCTGCGCCACTGAATTGTAGTGCTTTTTAATCTTTCCGACGTCAAATCTTTTTATCTATTACGCCCTGTTGGTGTTTCTTGGATCAAATGTGGATGCCCTTTCGCGCATTTGCCGAATCTTCGACTTTCGTTCTTGTTTCGTTTTGATGGCTCTAGATGTGGATGCCCTTTCGCGCATTTTCCAAAGCCGCAACTCCCATTCTTTTTCCGTTTCTATGGCTCTAGACGTAGATGCCCTTTCGCAAAGATCTTGCAAACCTTAATTACGTTCATTGGAATTTTAAGCTACATTTTTCTGAATTCGATTTTAAATTTTTTTATACCCTGTACCCGTAGGGTAAAAAGGGTATATTAGGTTTGTGCAAAGTATGTAACATATAGAAGGAAGCATCTCCGACCCCATAAAGTATATATATTCTGAATCAGCATGACGAGAGAAATCGATCTAGACATGTCCGTCCGTCTGTCCGTCCGTCTGTCCGTCTGTCCGTCCGTCTGGATGAACGCGAGGATCTCAGAAACTATAAAAGCTAGAATAACCAAAGTTGGCATCCAGATTCTCCTAGGTCCGAGTAAGGACGAGTTTATGTTTTTTTTTTTAATTTTCCCCCCCTTCCCCCGCTACAGAATTTCGTCAATAGCGTCCACATTTCAAATGCTACCTAAACCAAACTTTGCACACATAATTTATATATAATTGTCTACTGTTGTATAAAATTTTATTCAATTCGGTCAGTTCTAAGAAAAGTTATTAGCAAAACAAATCCTCGCCAGTACAACCCCCCCAAACTGCAGCAGCAAGTTCGCTCTTCTTCTTCCTCTTTTTGCTGCTGCTATGGGCGCATATAACTCAGTGACGGAAGTTTACCTGGGTACAGGGTATTACACTGTCGGGCTTGCTCGACTGTAGCGTTCTCTCTTGTTTTATTTACGAATCAATCTGTCAAACATATTAAAATGAGCCACGAAACTTCACAAGTTTGCCCACGGGACTATTTTGAATATATACTATACTAGTTTTGTGCGAATGTATGTAACAGACAAAAGGAGACGTGGCTGACCCCACAAAGTATATACAAGGTGTGTCCCAAAGTAAACAGGACTTTAAAAAAAAAAAAAAACAACATATGATTTTCGGCAAAATCAATTTATTTTATTCAAAATAGTCTCCTTCTGCTTCAATACAACTTTTTGCACGATCCAAAAGCATGTCGAACCCAGTGTTTTAGCTCGTTGGCCGGTATGGTCGCCGGTATGCCGGTGCAAGCCTTTTGAATGGCCTCTACGTCTGCATAACGCTTTCCTTTCATGGGCAAATGCATTTTTCCGAAAAGGTAGAAGTCGCACGGTGCCATATCAGGTGAATAATCGGTCACAAGCGTCGATCGATGAGAACAATTTTTGGTCACAAATGTTCGGTCAAAATGCGATCAATCGATGTTTTGAAGATGTTCAATTCCATTTCATCAATTTCAATGATGATTTCAGCTGATTTTTGATGAATTCACGCACAGTTTCGATGAAATTTTCGGTGATCACGAATTTTGATTGGCCCACATGTTGATCGTCATTTATGTTCTCACGACCACTTTGAAAACGTTGAAACCACTCGTGCACTCTGCTACGGGATAGGCAATCATCGCCATAAACTTGTTCCATCAATTGAAACGTTTCGGTAAAAGTTTTACCAATTTTAAAACAAAATTTAATGTTGGCTCTTTGTTCGAAACTAATTTTCGCACCGATAACACAAACATACTGACACTTAAAACGCAATAACTTCACTTCCAATAGATGAAATGTCATGAAATTCTCACTAGACAATCGATAAAGATAGCAGATTCTAACGCACCAGGACATATAGATAGCGCCACCAGGGGGCGCTAGATTCAAAAAGTCCTGTTTACTTTGGAAAGCACGTTGTATATTCTTGATCAGCATGACAAAACGAGTCGACCTTTGTCTGTCTGTCCGTCCGTATAAGCACCTGGATCTCAGAGACTATAAGAGATAGTGTTCAATCCTATCGAGGTCCTAAATAAACGTAAATTTATTATTACATTCTTATAGATAACAAGAGAGAACGCTACAGTCGAGCAAGCCCGACAGTAAAAAGGAAAATTTAAAAAAAATATATATATAAAAAAATTAAATGATTAAAAAAAAATTAATTAATTAATTAAATAAAATTATAAGACATGTTTATGTTCAGTTTTAACAGCATACATTTCCATGACGTGCCTATGCGTGTTTATATGCGTGTATGTATGCAGCACAAAGTTGAACCAAAGCAGCACCAACAACAACAGCTGCGGGCATCGCTGCAAGCAGAGCATGGGCAGCGATTTTATTTATGGCTATAACTTTCTTCATAATTGACCTATCATGATGACACTTGGAATACGGACAAATAACGAACTGGATGTATGTGGCAAATTTGAGTTCATAATTCCAAGAACTACCGGAGTTAGGAAAAACACGAATTGCGGGGGAGTGGGCGGGTGTATCAGGAAAAAAACACAAACTCGATCTGCCTAAGGCTTAGGGGAACCTGAATGCCAAGTTTGGTTATCCTAGCTATTGTACTTGCTGAGATCGTTGCGCTCATACAGACAGATGGACGGACGGACATAGCTATATCGACTTGTCTTGTCATCCTGATCAATAATATATGTACTTTGTGGGGTCTGTCTCGCCTCCTGTGTGTTTCTAGTACATTAAACAGTTGTGATCGTGCAGCTGTCTGTTGTGAAATATGACCAATAGGAGAACACCAAATTTGTTTACATTTCAGATTGTACCGTTAGGTTCATGCACACATCTTCATACCACAGTTTGATTTCTGTGTAAAACTTAAAACGTAGTTCTATTTGGCATTAAAAAACAAAAACCAACAAACTACAAGAAACGGCGACTCTTAAAAATCATAGCCTACCAGATAGGCATAAAAAAGCAGAAGGCAACTTAATTGCTGACGATTGCGCGTTTTTTTTAATGCAGCTGTGGGACGAAATTTTTGATCGGTAGCACAACAACAATATCTACCGCAAAAATCATCGATAGAGTTATGAGTAAATTTCGTTACAGAAAAGATTGCCGATCCAGCAGACAAAACCGTGGCATTTGAAAAAAAAAGTGCAGATGAAAATGCCGATGAACGCGAATCAGGTTTGCAGATTTTCCACATCTAGAGCCGAGAAAAATGGAACAAGAACGGGAGGCGCGGCTTCGGCAAATGTGCGAAAAGGCATGCACATCTAGAGCCATGGAAATAAAAACGAAACAAGAACGCGAGTCGCGACTTCATGACATGCGAACAAGGCATCTAAATCGAGAGTAGCAGGGACATCGCACCAACATACTGACCCACTTAATGCTAGCGAGCGGCTATATCATGGGAGAGAACCGACTTAAAATTGGCGGCATGCCAATACAATAAGTATATTGACTACTGAAATCACGAAGACGTCGTCAGCGCAATAACCCAAGTTTGGTTGCATTGTCGCGTTCTGAAGTGTGCTAATGAATCCCACGGTATATCAAATTACATTATTCGGAGCCACTGTCATAATGACGGACGCCGGCTACATTCGAACATTCAAAGTGCAAGGCCTAATTCACCACAGAATTGGATTAAATTTAAAAAATGCACGTTGATTGCCTTCGATTTGGAACACCCAAAAATGTATATATTTACACACCAAACTGAAAAAATATATATATTGAACACCCATTAGCAATACGATAAAATCGACAAATGAAATCTATTTATAATATAAAAATGAATCACTGAATGTGTTACTAAGCGCAAATGTCGAGAGCTCCTGAATTGAAAAGTCTAAAAACAACACTTCTATATTCCCATACAAAAGATTCGTAATAATACTTACTACCATAAAGTTTACGTGATAATGGAGGGGTTCCAGGAAGGCAAAACAATTAGTAACGTATAAAAAATAAAAAAAAAAGTAAAAAAGCTAAAGTCGGTGTCCCGACTTTGAAATACTCTGTACATATGTTTACAATAATTATAGAAAATAAAAAAAAAATTAGGAAAATAAAAAAAAAATTTGATATATTTTACCTCTTTTGGTATTCGAACTCACGTAAAGGGTGTATAATTGCACATTTACATAGCAATTGCGTCTGTGTGAGTGTATGTATGCCTATGCGCATCTATTCGTGTCTGTGTAAACATATGTGCAGTCAACCAAAGCACCAGCATCAACAACAGCCGCGGGCAGCGCTTGAGCAGCAAATATAT